AAGCAGCTATGATTTATTTTAAATTTATTTTATTTTTTTGTTTTTGTTTTTTTTTTTAGTTGTGCTTTTTGTATTTTAAATTTAATGAAATATTACGCGCACGTGTCAACAGAGCGATAAAATTTATTTACGCAGCACTGCGGGTCAAGTGAAAGCACAATTTGGTTGGCATCTCGGGAATTCAGACGCTGTGGCAGACCTTCAAATTGAATTTACGCCGCCTTGTGGTAAAGGGGGATCAGTGCCAAAAAATTGAAATCGAAATCGAAATGTAAACCTGACTGCTATAAAAATGGGCGTAGGGCAGCCGCACTGACACGCGGCCATATTTTAAATGTCAACAGGCAGCGGGTACCGTTGTCCCCGTACCGTACGAAGATCGTGCAAGCGAAGATCTGGCGGCAGCTACTGCAGCTCTCTGCAGCCAAGGATGCTGTTCCCCTTGTCCGTGTGCATCAAAAATTCAATAAAATACCATTAAATTACAAAATGAAGACAATTCATTTGGTTTTTTTTTTTCTTCTCTTTTCGCATGGATTGCTCTGGGGCAGGTCTTCTTCATGTTTTCTCTTATTTTTTTTTTTTTTTTTTGGGGAGGGATCGAATTCTGTGTGTGTGTGTGTGTCTGCCGGGTTTATTATGCGCTGCATTTTGTATCTTTAAGCAGCGGCATTTAATGTCGCTTTGCAGTTATAAGCAATAAAATATGAAAATCTGCGCTTATAAATGTTGAAAACGACATTTATCGTAATATTTTATGAAATCAGTGAATATTTCGGTGAATGGATACAACAACAATAACAACAACAAATGCGTAGACAATGCAACATTATTGTTCAAGTATCCCAAAAATTGACTTGCAATTGAATTTATTTTATGTGTTGGTTGCTTCCATGAGCAGCTATTGATTGATTGCTTAGAGTTGCTAATTCAATTCATTATGATATCAAGTTGATTGGCTCGACAAGGTCAATAGTTTGGTTTGAATTACAGAATTGCTTACTAGGAATTGCAAATATAGATGGATGAGTACAAGAAAAGTCGAACTCTAAAATATGAATATGTAAATAATTTATATAGCTAGGATACAGGAAAAAAAAAATATACTTTTTTTTTTTAATTTTCTTTAGCTTTTCAATTTATAATTAGCGATGCATCATTTTTCGCTGAATCAGTGAAAAATAGATAACATTAAGTTCTGAGCAAGACTCTGGTAAGACATTGTCGTGGGGTGTTAAGCAAAGCGCGACAAGGCCATCAACGGAATTAGTTAGGGAGCATAAAACAAACGTTTTGCAGGCGCAACGCCCACCACAGCTATAAGCGAGAACTACGCCTATAACATATGTATGCATAATTTTTAGTGCTGCGAAAAACCTCATAAATATGTGGCCATTACGACGGTGCAACTAATGGCCTGGCCTAAGCGTTTCATGCAGAGGTGGGGCGGGGGTGCTGCGGACTGGGGCCGTCAATGCGAACATTACAGGTGGGTTGCCTGGCCTACACGAAACTACTCGTAAAACTTGGCGTACGGCTGAGCAACTACTACCGCGGCTGCAAGTGTTCTGCGTGCTGTTGCTCCTGATGGTGGTCATTAGGACAATTCCAGCTACAGCCTCAGCTCCACTGAAGACGCACACGCAGTTGAGTGATGCGCATTGGGGTCATTTGTGTCGGTGATGGGGCGTCACTTGGAGGCCGGGGCTAATTTCCATAATGTTCGCCTGGCCACTAGAACAGTTCATTCACTCGGCAAACAATGCGAGCTGGTGCTCGTAATCTGGGCAGCTCACATGTACATCTCTTCTCTCTCTCTCTCTCTCTCTCTTTCTCTCTGTGTGTGTGTGTGAGTACAAAGCCGCTTAAGTGAATGCCTGGTCTTAACACCTACCGGCCAACAGGTAAACTTTACTGTCCAGTTTCAAACATATTCTTCTCGCTTCACTTGTTGGCAAAGGCAATTTAATGGCTCAGCAATTGCTGACCCGTCGCTCGCTACAAAGTGGCCGTTGGCTCTTGCACTGCACTTGGCTTGGACACTCTGATATCTGGTACTAGGGAGTAAATAAAAGTAGAAAAAAAAACAAAGCACTATACAGCTTGGATCGAGCGTTGTCGTTGTCTTTGCCAGCGCAACATGAGTATGATTTATAGTAGTTTATGCGGCCAAGCCGAGTGCAGCTTCTGCATAGTCTCTGCACCCAAATCGTAATTCGTAATGTTCGTTAGCTTTGGACTTAAGGATGGTCGCGTGATTTGCTTCATTTCAGGTGACATATCGTGATTGTGGCGGTGTATGTCGTGATTATGGAGTGAATTGCTTCCAGTAAGATGTGAGCTGAATCAGAGGAATTAACTGGGAATGCTTTAATATGAATTGTAGAAGGAATGGAAATAAAGTCAAGTACTTTTTAGTGTTGCTAAAGGAAATGTAGTGGAGTCTGAAAATGGATATAAAATACTTAAAATGTCTTTAGTAGAATGTTTTAGAATGGAATATTTATTTATACTCTTATCAATCATAATTCAATTTGTGGAGAAGCTCTGTTAGTATTTTGGTATTTTAGTATATTTCTATGGTCATACCGTATTTATATATAACGGGTAGGCGAAGATGTGGCAGACCCCATAAGAAATATATCTTCTTGATCAGGACGTCTAGTTGCTTAGGTGTAATTATATAAGTAGACAGTAGTCACATAAGATCGATCTCATAACATATTTATTTTAGTCTTATATACAAGCTTTTTTTTCTTTTTTTTTGTTTTTTTTTTGTTTTTGTTTTAAATTTAAAAAAAAATGTTATTCCTACAAAAAATGGTCTCATTTAGTGTGGTGGCTCAGGAGCCCAGGAAACAATATGCTATAAAATACAGATTATGTTTATTTTAGAATTGTAATATATCCCCCCTAGTCTACAAAAATCTCAACACATCCAAGAAACATATACATGTTCATCATCTTCATCTGTTCATCAGTTTCGCAATTTCACGCAAAGATTTGCCATTCCTTCGAAGGTTTTTAGCAATTCTGCGTTCCTGACTCGAACAATTAATATTTCGACCCATCTACATATGATATTGATAATTTTTTTTACATCAAACATCTGTAGGAAGGTTACCTACTATTTTACAACAATAAAAGAAATCATTCTTATTCTAAACTTTTTTTTTCGGGCTGAAGTAATGGAGTGTACCTATTATTTTCAGCAGGCCCATTTCAGTTTATTGTGACTACTATGAATTTAGGGGGAAATATAATTTTTTTTTTTGCATGCATCATATTGCCAGATTGCTCTCTTAAAGTTACCATCGATTTTTTTTCAAAAATATCAAAAATTAATTAGTTATGACAGAATTTTCAAAAATTTTTGGGTGTACTTATTATTTTCATCATGAGTGTACCTTAACTCTTGCATCGTAAGACAGATTAGAACAGAATATCTATTCAATAATATTTTCAGTAATTTTAAATCACGTTCAAAGTGTTGCGTGACTTCTACTGACTACTTTTCATCTCTGTTGTTCCATCTCCAAGTGCAATCGTTGTCTATGACTCTTTATGTGTATCATTTTTCATGCCTGCAGCATGGATTTAGCATTATTGTATTTTATATTATTTGTGCTTAATTTGCCGAACGGGCCATGCACCTGATTTCCTGACTGTTGTGACTATACAGTGCAAAAGAGACAGAACTCAGATAGAGAGAGGAAGAGTAAAAGAGGAAGAGGGAGAGAGAGAGAGGGGGATATATATAACGATTTTCGATTGTGGCTTTTGCCAACGGGCAGCATCTGCATACATACATACATATATACTCTGATCCTCTTCGTGCTGGCAGACAAGTTCGTTAATTTGACGCTCGCACCTCGTTCGCATAAATTTTGCCAAGTGCCAGGCGGTCGGTCGGGGGTTTCTGGGGCGGCTGGCTAGGGGGTGTGGCAGCAGCTATGGTACCTCTTCTTCGTCTGTCAGGTCAGGTTTGGTGGGCAGTGGCTGGTGGTGCTTGGGCTATTAGCGCACAATGCCAACGCCTGGGCCGCCCACACTCCACAGCTCCAGCATCAGCTTCCAGCGCGTCTTAGTCTTCATGGTTCATGGTTATGCGGCGTTCCTTTTGTCAATTTCCAGACATTTGCCTTTAAGTGCGGCTGGGCCAGAGATTTATGTTGTGCCGTTGTCATTTTAAGTTAATGGCCTGTAATTCTCTCCCTCTCACACGCTATCTCACTCTGCAGTTCTTCTTCCTTTTCTCTTGCGCTCTCTCGCTCTCTTGGAGTTTTCATAACTCTTTGCTTAACCTGACGATCGTTGCTGCGCCGGCATGTGCAGGTGAATTTTTACATCTAGGCAGCTAGCTAAATTTATGATTCGACTTTTAAATTGGTTTATTGCAATTTCCGCAGCACACATCCACACCCACACCCACACACACACATGCAAGCTCAAAATTCGTTAAGCACTTGCACACAATTTGAATGGTATCGACAGTTTCGTGCCTATCGATCGCTATGCCCAGCTGATCTTTAAAATTGCAAACGGTCAGCACTGATTCCTAGCCTAGAAGGCTAGGCAACTAGCTGTACCGTTGCATGGTCTCTAATTGCAGGCTTAAAGCCTAAAGAAAAATGCCTGAAACAGCTGCAGATATTCGGGCAGAATCTATATGAATGATATTGATAAAATGATCAAAATTGATGGGATATTAATAATGCTTCTTCATACTTATTTTGTTTTGTAATTAAATCTTCGTAAGATAAAAGCTACTCTGAAGGAAAGTAAAAGTGGTAAAGGGATTTCGTGGGCAATACTGCGTAGAAAATATCTTAAAACGAACAAATGTTTTTTTTATTTTTTATGTTGACCGATTTCAGAATTTGCATATTACTTATCAAGATAGAGTTGTTTCACTCTCGTCCCATTGTTAACAGATCGCTTTGCAAAAGCTAATGTCCAATCCAATGGCTGCAAGGCTCAGCAGCTTTGAGCCGCAAGTGTATCGGATAAGCTTGTGTTATCGCCCGCTCCTGCCTATCGATCACAAAGGCCCAGCACTGACACTGACAGTTTTGTTTGTCAACTTTGTTGCTTGTCAAAAAAAAAAAAAAAGGAGAAAAACAGATGATAGCTGGAGAAAATATTTCATTTGAAAGCTGAAATCAAATCATCTGTATCCATTTGGACTAGTTTCGTATTTAGTGTTCAAATTAAAAATCAACCAACATAAAGAAATGAAACGACATAATGCGAAGGCAATTGCAGCGGCGGTTGCTATTGCTGCAGCAGCTGCTGCCTCCGCCGAGGGCAAAAAGAAAACGGAGACCAAACTGACTCTCAATCCGTCGACGCTCTACGTGGATGTGGTGAAGAATATGGCCAGGCCGGAGAGCTCGCCACCGGCAGCACCGGCGCCGCCAAAGTTTACCATTTTGCGTGAGGATTTTCCGGCTCTGCCGGGCACTCAGGACGATTTGCGTAACAGCAATAGTGCCACCGTGCCGGATGACTGGACGGCTATCATCAGTGACGATGATGAAGTTGGCGATAATAATAAAGATGATGGTGCTGTTAATGATGATGTTGAGGTGACGCAGCCGCCGCCACCATCGCCGCCAACACCATCCCCACCAACGCCCTCGCCGGACAGTGTTAGCGAGCCGGAATCGGTGCCTGAGCCTATGGCTGAGCCGGTACCTGAGCCAGTGCCTGAGCCGGAGCCAGAGCCAGAGTCGGTGTCGGTGCCAGATTTGCTCATCGAGCTGCACAGCAGCACCGACAGCAACAACATCAGCAGCAGCAACAGCAACAACATCAGCAGCAGCTCCAAGAACAACTCCAATTCCAGTGAGACGGAAACGGTGGAGCCAGAATTTCCGGCAGTGGCCCATGTGGCCGCCACCACTGATTTCAATAGCAGCTCCTACGCTCCGGAGACCGAAGTGTACCCGAACTTTGTGAAGTACGTGAAGAGCCGCATCTTCGACACACAGTTCCTGGCCGTGGGAGTGCATCAACGTGCCTGGTCGCGCCAGAGGAGCAGCGATGCGGTGCCAAACATTGGGCCGCCGCCTGGGTTCGAGAATATGAAATTCTATAGTCGCTTGCGCACCAATCGTTTGGGTGTGCCGCTGGGCGGTGTGACCTTCGACGTAACGCCGCCGCAGGCGAATAGCAGGCGCTCAGAGCGTTCAAATGGCGGCAGCATGGAGAGCGCCTATGGCTTGAGCGGATTGGCTAGCACTTTGAAGGCGGCACAGCAGAATCCGCATCTATTTTCGGAGATCTTCGGTCATGAGGCGGCGGATCTGAATGTGGATGCGCATTGCTGTGCTTGCGAGGCGAACAAGCTGCACGCCAGTTTCGCCGGGCCGCTGGAGGGCGGACGCTGTGCTCCGCACGAGGTGAACTACGATATACCGTTGTACTACCGACGCAATAACGAACGGGAGTTGCCCCAGCCGAAGATCGAACAGATGGAAGTGGAGCTGCTGTTCTTCTTCTTCTACACATATCCGGGCGACATGATGCAAATGCTGGCCGCTGCCGAGCTGGCCGAGCGCGGTTGGCGTTTCCACATATACGAACGTCTCTGGATTCGACGCCAGGCTGACAATCCACACTACGTGGTGTGCGATTATCAGGAGTCCGGCGAGTACAACTACTTCAACATGGTGCACTGGAAGATCCTGGCTCGTCACTTCGATCTGCTGCCCGTGCATCTGGAACGCACCATAACCAAGATCGAGCTGCTCGAGCAATACGGCTATCATCCGCAGATGAGGTGAGGCTAGCTGACTACATGGCAGGTGGCCATTCATTACTAATCCGAACGTCTTGTTTATCCTCCTACACACACATACTCCTAACAGCTTCTTCTGAGACGGTGCTTATCCTTTGCGCGGCAATAGACGATAGAGGCATTCTAGTCGAGCGTGACTCAATGGCGAACCAATTGCTAACATGCTCCAAACACAATACATACTCATCGATTATACATATACATTCATATATATACATATATGATATATATTATATAAATATGTATATTTATCTATAGCTACACATGTATGTATATAGCTTTGAAAGCATCATTCGAAATTAATAGTTGTTGCTGCTGCAAGTTGTTAAAAGCTTATATATATATTTATGATCATATGATATATAATCGAGTTAGTTTTATATATTTGTTTGACCAAATCTGATTGATATATTGGCCATACCCATATACACGAATGATTCTCACTGCATATAGATGATCTGATGATATATAATGAAATTGGTTTTATATATATTTGTATGACCAAGGCATTGATCAATTGATAGGTCAGCATACACGAATGATCGCACTTGATAATTGTATTTCATAGTTTAAATAATGTAAAATCGAGTTAATTTTATATATTTGTCTGACCAAATCTGTTTGATAGATTGGCCATACTCATATACACGAATGATTCTCACTAGAAATAGCTTGACAATCATATATCAGGTAATAGATAATCGAGTTAGTTATTTGTTTGACTAAGGCGCTGATTGATAGATAGATACATACACGACTGATTCTCACTACAAATACACTTGCAATTATATATCATAAGTGATAGGTATATTTACATATAATTGAATTAGTTTTATATATTTGACCAATGCATTGATCAATTGATGGGTCAGCATACACGAATGATTCTCACTCCAAATACACTTGACAATTGTATAAGATAAATGAGAGATTTTATGCACTGTGAAACCGAATGTATTTGACATAAAATAAATGAGCATAGCACTTTATATTCATATTTATATTTCGTATTCTATTTAGTGCTTTTAAACTATGTATGTACTATGAACGGGAAACCGTTGCTTCAGGGATAAATAATTATCGATAACCATAACTGTCTCTTAAGTCTCACCACTAACCAGAGAGTTAGCGGTCTCACATATTTATAGTGTTGGTAAATTATACATAGGTGGAGCGATGAAATCGAATAGTGACGAAGAAATAAAGTTAACTAATTTATTAATTCATTCTCATTGATTATTCTATAAAAATAATTATTAGTCAATTTGAGTTTATCATAAATATGGAACATATAACGATTTTCTAAAAAGTCGAAAGATTTTTATGAAAAATTTCCCACAGTCGCCTTTGAGTACACAGACATCCATCTGCACTTTTATAGACCGCTTCATGGTAATCCATCTAAGAGCAATCAATACTTGTTTTTCTTCCGCTTCAATCTGTGCAGCGGCGGTGCAGAAAGTCCACTGTATAACATTGGCCAGTGGCCACACCTTGCAGTTCAATTTATTTGATATTTAACAGCCAAATGCACATGCCAAGCGCTCCTCTGGCTAGTTGCCTGAAATGCCAGCCAACTGTGACCAAGCCTCGAAGCGAAAAAAAAAGCGTCTCATTAGCAATATGGAGCAGGCCAAGCCAGTGAGCGACCGGCAGCCCGACCGACCGTCCAGCTGTCCAGTCGTCCGGCCGACCACACGATCTGTTTGGCCAAGTGTCGCTTTGCTCGCTAATTGCCACGTAAATTTGCAACCATTTTTGGCAGCTCATTAAATTTATTATTAAAACAAAACGCTAACCGAAGTTAATTGCCATCAAATTGACATGCGAGACGACAGCACCCGCCATAGAGCTCCAGCTCTAGCTTCGCTGAGACTCGGGCCTGGCTCATGCGTATTAATTGCCATGGAGACTTCATAATTTCATGTGGAAAAATGTGAACGTTAGGCGTGCACAACAACAACAACAACAACAGCAGCAACAACAAACCAAAACTGTAATTTAAGCGCAAGTCTTTAAGACTCTGCGCAGTGCATGGGGGGCTCAGCGAGAGCTGGAGGCTCTGTCCAGTTGTTGGTTTATTTATGGCACGGCAAAGTTTGATTGAAATGTGTTGTCTGTGAAATTGACAACTGGGTGAGATTTGCACGGCTGTTGCAGTTAGCATAGAAGAGGGGGCTGGCGGAGGGTCAGGAGGTAGGGTAGCCTGTTGGTTAGTAGCCCAATCCCCCTTTCCAATTAAGCATGAGTCATGGCTTAGCTGTCAAGAGTTGCGCAATTTTCTAGAGCATTGATTAATAAGCCGCCCGCACATGGGCATAGCCTCAGGGTCCGGCATTAACCCCTTAACATAACCTCTGGCAGGCATACGCATGCGCGACAACAATTACCGTTAGCATGCGGAGCAAGACTCTGCACTTAATATTATTATTGCAGTGATTGTTGTTGCTGCTGCTGCAATTGTTGTAGCTATTGTTGTTGTTGTTGTTGTCAACACGCTCGTAACTTGCAATCAAGTTAAGATGACAGCGGAAATGAAGCATTGACGCCTCGCACGTACCACAGAGGACACACAACAGCAGATACAAGTTGCATCTAGCATCTGGACAGTGGGCAGGCGAGCTGGCAACCTGGCAACCTGGCAGCCTGGCAAGCTGGCAATCCATGGCAGCCACGCCGCCTCACCTGGGAAAAAGCTGTGTTGTGTTGGGCAATCAGGTTTGCTGCACTCGCCGGCGAGTGGGTACCAAATTAGACAAATTTTATTATTAAAATCCACTTGTGTTGAAATAAAACACGACTTTCTGTGTCGCATATAATGAAAATATATGGCAAGTTAATACCTGAATTTATTTATCACCTGAACGCAGGCCAGGCCAGACCATGTCGCTTCCCAGGCTAGCTAGCCGCAGTGCTACTCCTATCTGAGTCTACAAGTTTCATTAGATTACAACGGCGCGGCGTCAAAGGGCAATGCTTAGTTTGTAATTAATTAGATGTGGACATGGTTGGGCATACGAAATTTGAAGATGTTGCTGAACAACTTGAAGCAACTACTAAATTAACAAAACAATGATCAAAACTGGCAAAGCTATGCTATAGGTGAAAGGTGTAGCTAAAAAGTGAATATCTTGTGTCTATTTGAAGAGCTTTAGGAGGATATCATGTAAAGACTATGTATATTCATATGATAGAGAGAGGGTTAACATATATTGAGTATACTTCCTCTATGGATTAAATATAGTAGACTGCGGTTATCATCTATCGTTCTTATATTGAGATATGGTAGCGGAGTGTATACAATTATAGTAAAACAGCAATATCATAATATCGACTCTCTCAAGAGATATATAGAGAGATCATCTCTCGACTATTTGTAATGGCGTGGGAATACCATTATATATCCACCTTATCTCGAGCGGTGGTAGATTGGGATTTTATCAACCGAGCATATATAGGATAATGTGGATATTATCGATTGGCTACATACATTATTATTTACTAAGAATATCATATCGACACTACATTGAATACATATGTATAGATGGACAATACATTAACCGTGAAAATATCGCTTATAACCGAAAGAACTTGAGAACGAGAGATTGTGAGAAGGAGAGAGAGAGAGAGATAGAGAGAGTTATAGCGTGAGTGGAAGAGTGGGAGATCATTTATCAATTCCGGCTGTAGCCTGACATTTTAGTTTAAAAAAATTCAGCTCTAATGTCAACTCAAGCAAAGTCAAAGCTTAACACAGTCAAACTAGATTAGGGACATCATGTTGCTCTTGAACACAGCTAGCTTTCATTGAACTACTGCTCTAATTTTTAGTAGCTCTATCAAGACTATAATTTAATTATTCATATTAATTATTTCCCTAATTGCCTTCACATCAATTTAAGATAGTCTCCCATTTAGGAGCCATACTTTTTGCCCTTTTTCGAATTCGACTTGGCAACAACTGCGAGCTAGCTATGGCAATCGCAATCGCATTTGCGAGATCAACGAACGTTGACATCAAGGATTTTGTCATAGCCCGCTGATCACTGATCGCTTTCATTCAAGTCTCGTCTACGCTCTGTGAATATCAATTCTTCTCTTCAGCTCTCATGATGCTAATTGGCAGCATCTTCCTTTCTTTTTTCTATTTTGCTCAGGCAGCCAAAAATTTGTAATGTTAATTGCTCTCTTGGGCGAACTCAGTGATCTCTGAGGGCGATTTGCATGCGAAAGATCGTGTCAGGTATATTTCGATTTCGACTGACGATTTCTACAATACCTATTGGAGCGATATGTGCTTCTCCTTTTTTTTTCGGCGGCATCTCCCAGCGAGTTCGTTGTCTCATTCATTGGCGTCGTCTGAGTGTCTGGCATGGCGACTGCGACTGCGACTGCGGCGGCGACAGCGGCAGAGGCTGCTGCGTTATGCCATAGTTGATGGTCGGCAGTGCCTGATCAACACAGAAGACAGAATGAAGGAGAGAGAGCGAGGCAGAGATAGCGAGAGAGTTCAAAGACACAACGGTACATTCAACCTGGGCAAGCGACAAGGCCACATTGACCACGATATTGTCCACACACCCACGTGGGCCAAGTCAATAACCTGAACGCTGAACGAGGGTTGATTGAACCTGAGGCAAAAATTCTGAAGCAGATGCTCACGCTCAGAGTCTGACGCCGACTCTGCCTCTTGACTGGGGGCTGCATGGCTCTGCCTCTGGTTGGTTGGTTGGGCTGCCTGCCCCAACAAACGGCAAATTGCAACCGAATCGAACAGTATGCGAGCGAACTATGAGCGCGATTTGCAATTCAGCAGTAGAACAATGGGATCTGCCGCTGCTGGTCACAGCATCCGCATCAGTAACTCGTCTTCCCGTAACAATTTCCTTACTTATGCAGAATGTTTAACGGTGGTTCAATCGCCCCCTGAAATCAACCACAGTCCCAATCACAGCATCACAGCCATTGGCCACTGAACCGAACCCAGCTGAACCCAACCGCCCGTCCAACCGCCAAAGCAAATCGAGCAACAAAATGTAGGTGATATGCATTTTAAAGCAGTGAAAGTGCAAGAACCAAACATATGCGCCGTTCATTGTGCCCGTTCGGATTTGTTATAATTGCAAAACTTGACTGCAGCTCATATGTGTGTATATCTACTCATACTTCAGCAAGTATGTGTACATA